TTTCTTATTAGTAAATGCTGAATGAAATAGAAAACTGGTATACAAAGTTTTTATTAAATTTATTCTTTTATACACTGGCATATTTTATAAATAAACCCAAGAAGTTTTGTTAAAACGTTATGTATTACTATACGCTTATTTTCTTACCATGTGCAAATGTGTTGCGTCGTAAACTCTTACTTTTTGTTTGTGATAGAGTAAGTAAATAAGATATTCAGGGCGTCCATGGCCGAGTGTTTAAAGTCCCTGATTTTTATACACATGCTTCTCACCGCTATGGATTCTAGTCCGACCAGAGTCCTTGAATTCTTTCATCAAACTAGCTGCTTTAACTCAGGTGTCCCGACATTGACGGTGTGATTTGAAACCCATCATCTAAGGTTGTTTTATGCAAATATTTTTTTTTACTCCACTTGCAGTGTAAATATCTTTGACCGCTTGATTTCAAATATTCGTTTTTCTTTAAAGGTCCATTATGCATCTTAAATGATATCATTTTTATTAAAAAAACTGTTTATTTTTGGTATCTTGTTACAGTTTCCGAAAACATACTCATTTGCTAGATACTCAAACTATCTTTTGCATCTTTGGTTCTGTTGGAAAATGGTATACCTTTAGTGAATAAGTATTTCGTATGGAAGTCAAAATACTACTTTGTTTACATTTTGCTACCTTAACGACACATCACTTAATGCTCAGCGCTACCTTTTTCAGTTGTAATAAAATACTATCGTGCGTTTTATCCATTATCTAAACATTATGATACACATGTTTGACATTTCTAAAGAATTAAAACAGTATGGATTTCTGAGGCACAATGTGCCTTTAATCATAACTTGTATCAGTGTATCATTGTTGTTTGTTTGTTGTTGTTGTTGTTTTTTTTGTGAGAAGTTATTTTGTTCTTGCGAATTCTTCAATATATTTTCATAAATTATGTAACATAGTGACTAAATGTAACAAATATCGCCATATAAAAACATCAGCATTCAGTTAATAACCATCACCATACCAATTAACAAGCAATTATATTTGTTCATCTTCTTTCTAATTACAGTAAAATGAGGGCCAAGACACACCTGAAACTGCAAAGGTCAAAGAACTACTATCACAACAGAAAAATAACACTGAGCCGTGTAATATCAAATCCCATCAAAAGTTCATTTGATATATTATAATAACAATCAATTAAGCATTCGTCCTATAGACAACAAGTGAAATATTTTATCTTGAATAATTGAAATAAGTATTTTCTATCTCTTTACATATGAACTTTAACTTTCTTTTAATGTATATGTATGCTAATGGAAACTGTGCGTGAAACTTACTATTTCGTTTTCGTGCGACTTACTATCCATAAATAGTTCGTTTTACTTACTATACACTTGCAAAGAACATTTGTAGGCTACAGACCTTCGAAAATATATTTTATATGGACTTCTACGATAACAGATGTCACTAAAATGATTTATTTGGTGTCTTAAGTGCAGAAAGTAAGCTTATTTTCATTTATTTTGGTACTAAATTACATCGCTTCGTGCGAATTACTATCGCTAACAATGTTCTCAAAAACCACAAAACGTAGGATAATGCACTTTGTATTGTCATTTGGAAAAATTAACGCGCATATGATACACTAGGTTTTGTTTTGATTTAAGAAACGTTTGTCACCTTAATTTAACATAATGAGGTACTTACCGGGGCTCAGCAGTCGCCATTTTCTCGTGGGTATTACTATACAAAGTCACGTGATTCCCCCCCCCCCCTTGTATATATCTATTTTCGTTTTTATCATTTCCGTTGATATGTTTATTGATGCTATAAACGATAACAAGTGAAATGATATATAAAAATTATTTACAAGGAGCTAAGATTGAGTCATCGGTGATTTTTTTCAAGTTCAGATTATAAACAAATTACAACAGAAAGAATGCACATTAAAGCTGTGTTATTTATAAACATGAAAATGTTGTTCATGGGAGCGCAGGGGAAATATCATTGCACGGTTCATCGGCAATTCTATCTGTCGATAAAATTCCGACCTTTTCTAACATCCGAGTTATAAATTAAACTTTTATAATATAGGCCTTTTGGTGCACATAATATTATTTGAGAAAGGTCACTAATCCCTTACTGAAATACCAATATAGCTTCATTTAAAGAGCATTTTTGATCAAATGTCAACTTTTTTTCTTCATATTATGCACTTTTACAATTTCTCCAGAAGGGTTATCTTGATGGCACATAAACAGATAATGCACACCAATTTACTGGACATATCAAGACCATTCCCATACACTTGAGTATTAGAACCGTTTGGTTGGCGACTGGAAAATTTGTTCCCTGAAGGTTCGCAAAGAGAGTGATTGAACAAACTCGCCATATGATTCAATTGTGGGAAATTATTATATCGATTTTGTGCGCCGCTCAGACGTGATAGTATTTATCCATAACGCAACATCAGAAATAATTGATGTTATTTTTCATAGTGCGTCTCTTGTCGATGGGAAAATATATCGTTCGATTAATCTCATTTAAATATGTTGGGGGGTAGATCAGCGTGCGATACAATGTCATCTCTATTTATTTGATGAACATAAAATCTATCAACAGGCGCAATTCGTTCATGTTACAGCATTAAAGAAGATGAGTTACCTTAACTGTAAACATATATATTTAATGTTACAGTTTAGTTATTCAAGACGTACGTATATGACAAAATGTGCACTTCACTTATTGAAGACAGCATGAACATATGTATGTTATTAATTATGTATTAGTGGGGGAATTTTATATCAGAATACATGAAACAAGAGCTTGAACCACTTTCCCGCCATAATGTGCAGTGTTTATAGCATGTTTGAATACCTCTGATATAACAAGCAGTAAAATATACAGGTACGTAGCCTCGTTTATCATGCATCGTTTGTGCAGATCTGCCTATCTTCAAACAAGAGATAAGCGAATAAACTAATCTTTAACATATCAAACACCCCCGTAACATATAAATATAGTGTTTACCGATATGAAAATACAACAGATGTTGGTGGGTAAATTGATGTTTACTGCTCAGCCAATTGTTTTACATGTTTTATTAATGTATCAATTACCGTGAAGCGCGCAAAGTGAGGATACTGATCAAAATAAAATTGTGAGGTTTTATGTAATGAAAAAATCAAATCTAGACATATGCTTTTATCATACATGTATTAAAATTTTCAGTTTTACAACTTCACATAATTTGAGGGTTTTTTTTTCACGATAATTATTGTCTTATTAGAAAAAGACTTAAGTTAAGAAAGAAATGTTTTCTTCTTCATACTGAAATCTTGACATCAAACCTTTAGGAAACATAGATTATAATAGGTCAATAATTCAACAATACATTTCGATGGCAGGAACCCGCAATTTTGCACAATTATAGAAATTTACTGCAAATAATGAAAATACCCACGTTCTCTATGTTAGTAAATCATATAAAAATGATCTCTTAAAGTAATAAATTATCATTATCATAATAGCAAAAAGACAGGCAGTATTCAAATTGATTTCGAAGTATAAAAAACCGAATGAAATGTCAACGCTTTAATTAAACAAAATATCATGTAATTACATCAATTATCTGGATACTGAGTCTTGTTTTGTAGCCTGTGACCTTTAGTTCCAACCATGTTACACTAATTGAAGTAAAAAGTATTTCTCTATGTTACATTTAGTTCCAATAAATTCTCACTAATTGGGGTAATTATTATTTCAGTATCACATGCATAATATATTTCACCCTTTATACGTGCGCCGGAGATATTGCATACATTTCCTTTAATTAACTGAATATTGAATACTTTTTAGAATAAAAAGATTTAATAAAGATAGTAGAAAAAGATTTAATAAAGATATTAGGCTGAGCTTTTCATTTCGATCGATGTTAAAACTGAAAGAAATTTCAAAAAATATGCTGATTGGTTAGTAAGATTTAGATTGATAACAATTGTAAACTTTTAGTATCATTTCTGAACACAGTTTTTATGACGTTTAATGCAATACATTTTCTTCCCCACAGTTTACACACTTTCACAGTTTATTACTACAATAATTACCGTATTATATATAAGCACATTAGATGTTTACCACCTGCAATAATACCCTTGGCGGTATATAAAGTGTGCCTATATTTGTCGGCAACAACGACACAATAAAAACAATTTTGAAAAAGTTCTTATGTAGATTTTCTCATTATAGTCTTCGTATTTTAAAGTGGTGATAAATTAGCGAATATACATAATGGAACATATACTCGTACAATGCAATGTTTTATTCACGAATTACCTACAATAAACAATTGTTCTACGATGACGTCATTGCAAATTAGCTTCACTAACATTGTTTAAGTTTTACACAATTTATTTGTTGGCACAGTTTTTTTTAAACTCGTTTTGTATAGTAACGTACTGATGCTGATATTTATACTTTGTATGATTTATCCGTGCTGATAAGAGATAGGAAAATTAAGTTCACGTTTTCACTATGAATTAATGATTTGCGGTAAAGAAGATCGATAGATTTAAAGCTAGTAAATAAACATTACTAAAGGGGCGTTCTAAAACTGAAATTCAAACGTTAATTTACGACTTCATGTTTACATAACACTCTCTAATGTATATTGAACAATACATATATTTAAGCTTTTTGTGATTTTTGTAGGAAACAAAAAGGATCAATATGCGTGTCGTAACCTGAAGATAACATAACTTTAAGTATTTGCAAACTGATATAATCATCAAATGATTATTGTCCTGGTCTTTCATTTTACTTTAATAATACCTGTGCAAATATTTAAAAAGACTATGCACATCTCACAAATAAATGCGGAGGTATAGAATATTACCGAAATAAGTAAAATAAGTGTATTATTTCACATACTTATCTGGACATCTTACAACTAAATTATCATTTTAGAACAGTTATAGCTGTTAACAAAATACATGAAACTATAAGCATACCTTAGTATAAATATCTGCCATGGTAAATTCCGTTTCTAGAATCATAGCTATAATTCCAAACATTCCGAATACAAGGCAATAGTCTGAAACCTTTTTACGTTTTTCATATAATAGTTTCCGTTTCCCTAACCGGTAACCAACGTTTGGCTTTTGTCTCACGTGTTTATTATGTCTGTCCGGTGGGAAGTCTGCACCGGAAACAAGAGCTACCCACGTTTTTCTGAGTATAACCTTTTTGAAGTGGGCATATGCATTGACTCTTTTTTTAACTGAAAATACCCAAATTGCCCCCATTCACTCTATATATCACCCTTTTCACATGGGTTTTTTACCTTTCTTTTTTTACCCTTTTTTTCCTCGTCGTCACCCAGTTTATCCAAAAATTTTCCCATATCGAGCTTTATTTAGTTTTTAACCGAGCTGAAATGCCCCCCGGGAGACCGGGGGAACCCTTTGCAAAACGTGGATAACAAAACCGCTTAACTACCATCATTCTTTTTTAAAAGGGTTTTTAATTTTTTCCTCAAATTTCCGCGCATCTAAAGGGTTTTTTGGGTCCCATTAAATTATGTAATTCTAATCCGGGGGTATAGGGCCTTTTCGCCCTCTATCACAGCCAAAATTTCCGCGCCTGATTTAGAAAATTTCCCCGTCACTATTTTTGAATTATATCTATTCCCAATGTCCATTTCGTCATTCTTTGGCCGCTGTGTTCTTTCCACTGTTTTCGATTCATTTTGTAAAGATTTTCTCCCACCTTTATTACGAGTATTCACTGTTTTCTCTATAGAATCGATACACACATTATCATCGGCCGGGAGCACGCTAACTACTGACATAGTGGAAACACCGTACCGCAGCCTCCCCGCTCAATCAATATTTACACGGTACGGCTGAAATACAAGCCACAGCTGGTAGAAAATAACATATGGTACAATTAAACAGTCTTTCAACATGTATTACTACTAATCATTTCTGAATGTTATGATAAATCAGTATTTAAAAAAGCTAACAAACAAAGGTAGTTGTAAGAGGGATAGGTATTGTGTTACAGCTAAATTAAAATATTAGGTTAATTAATAAAAAAACGTATTTTTTTGTAAATATTTTACAGTCTTTTCACTTTATTGGTGAAATATGAAAAGTCCCCTTTGAAGGCAAAAGGGCCAATATAAATTTTTTTAAAAATTTTAAAACAGTTGAAAAAATTCCTTTTTAATAAAAAAAAAGTAAAGAATTTTTAATTAGGGAAGGAAAAGAAAAAAAAAAAATTAAAAAAAAGGTAAAAAAGGGAAAAAAATTCAATTTAATTTTATCTGTATGAAAAAAAAATCAAATTTTAAGTTTGACAATTATGTTTTAAAATTTTCCCATCCCAAAAAGTCCGTTTTTAATGTTTTATTTTTTGGAGAAAACAATTCCTCTATTTTTGCCATAGTGAAAAAGTGGGTTTTTTTATATAATTTTTTTTAAAAAAACCCCGTAATTTGAAACCGATAAACAAATTTATTTTCAAATTTTCAGTCAAATCTACTGGTTATTTTTGAAACTTTTGAAAACTTCTGATATTCCCAATTTAAAAATTTATTAAAATTTTTTTAATCATACAACTAATAGAAAGAGAGAAACTCCAGGTTAAGCATTATTACAATATGTTCCTATTATACACCAAGTTTTCCTGGCTGTTCATAGATTTAATGTTTCCCCCTTTTGCTTTATTTTGGTTAGCGACTCTGAAATTGGTATTGTTCATAACATACTTATTAAACCTGAAATAGAAAATATTGGATAGTAAATATTTTAAATTAACAAGGGTTTTATTGAACTGGTATCTGTTTGTTTTTTGTGTCATAAACCGTTTTTGCGGCCGGTAAAACACCCCCCCGGCCCGGATTTTGGGGACCCTTTTTTTAAAAACCCCCGCCATTCCTCCTGTTTACCCCCCGCCAATAAAAAATATCCCAAAAAACGAACCAAAGCCTAATTAGTCGAAAAATATCGGTAGTTACCAGGAAATAAATCATTTGTAATGTGTGAAATTCAAAGAGAGAAATGTCACACTGTAATAAGGTTAACATTAGCTACTGCAGAAATTACCAGATATTCCACCATTAATATATGTTTAATGAGGGTTTTTAGCACTTTACATATCTGTGTATGTATTAATTGTACAGTGCTTTTCACGTAAACATTTTTAAAGTACATATAACATTTACTGCAACTAAATACATGTGTAATTCTATTTTACTGACAATTATGATTTTTGTTGAATAGATATAATGATACACGTACTTAACCGTTTTGATAGATAACTAAACTACATGACATTATTAAACTATTATCAAACCATATAATTTTAGATAAATACATCTTAGTTGAAATGTTTAAGGGGTTGGTGGTTAGAAGTAATTTAACTAGCAAAATGTTCTGAGCGCAGCTTGTTAAAATAAACAGATTTCCGACGCGCTGACCACTTTAAAGAAGGTATATTTCCATTTTTGACTTCACATTCAATATAGTTGTTATAACAAGTTGATATTATTTCATATAAAGACATTTTACTAGAGTGAGCATATTTGTAAACGATGCTTAATCATATCTGACCGCTTTCGAAACAAGCAGTCTCCTCGCTGGTAAAAACCTGCTTTTTGCCGAATTAAGTGTCATTAAATTACTTATCAATATACTAATTTAGCAACGAAGCATTCTGTTTCTTCGAATAATTATACTCTTAGTTTAGGTTTCGGATCGATATTAAGTTCAAAACGGACAATTTTGATACGTAAATAAGTCGTCACTGAATGTCCATGTTTTTCACTTAGATGAATATCTGACATTGTATTATGTAAAGTCCGATAACGTAAAATTTTCTAAGACTTATTTTTTATTGTTATACAATTTGAATAACTTGAGCCAAATCATTTGTAAACTCGCCAGCTGATACCCACCGCCGCTCTATTCAATATTGTTTCAACTTATCGGGGAGACAATGTCATTCGTTATTTGATATATGTGAAGGACAAAATTTAAGCGACCTTGCTGATCCGACTTCATATTTAGGGATCATGATACCTTATAGTTCCCCGAAACTGAAATATCCCTTACTGCTTTACAAACGCTAAACATCAGGGGCACTATTAAGTGTTGAGAATTGAGTACCGCTCAAGCCGCTGCTATGGGAGTGAGGGATATTGCACTTTTTCATTATCCCTCATGTACAGACTTAATCAAACCGAGTCTGCAATTTTTATGTAATTTTGCTGTTTTTACTGCTTCCGAGAGATCAAACTTTTTCCAGATATTTTCACTGGAACACTCTGACCTCTTCACTGAAAAATGTTACCATGATACATGTAATAATGTTGTCATATTGTTCTGATCTTGGGCATCTTTGATTCCGACACTTTAAGCGTTGAAAATTGAGTACCACCGGTGCAGGGGAGCGTGATTAAATGTTGCATGTTATCATTATCTCTCGTGAACGGACTCGATCAAATATGTTTCCGAATGACCACCATTTTTCAAGATTTCTTTTTATTATTATTCAAATACTAAAAGATATTTGCAAATATATATATTTAAGTCAAGGGCGCGACCATTAGCGTTGACCCAATGTTCGTTTAAACAATTGTCACGTGATCACCCACCCTGAAATAACTTAAAAGGTCGTTAAAAACCCTAGTTTGTTAAACATTACCCCTGTCGGGGACAATCAGTAGAAGGTAGAAAAGAGAAGTAATTATTTGCACTGCCTGAACTAACGATTATTTGATATACATTCAGTCAGTGCAGACTTGAATATAATTTCAAAGAAAGCAATCTTGCACATGTTCCATGTTTCGATCGAACAAATAGACTAGCCGTTCCTGACAGAAAAACACATTTTTGACGGCAAAACAAAATTATCATCAGAATTTGGCAGCTTTTTAAGAAAGGCAGTCGCTAAAAGAATACTAACAATAATATAGTATCTTAGGGCTCAACGTTTGTTTCCATATTTTTAAACGAAATTATAATGCTTTTAACAAATTCGTATGATACTTTAATCCTTATTTCCCTACGTGAGACACAAACATTTAATGTCAAATTTTATGTTGAGATAGAAATTTCAAAAAGTTTGGAGTTTTTTAATAAATATTATTATTTTGAAAAAGAATCATGTATAAAAGACATCTGTTGATAAGAGCAAATGACCATGCACGAAATCATTGCTCAACGGTTAAAATCCTTCTTAAATATATGATTTGTTCACGAGCATTTTGGTCTGTTTATATATGATATTCATGGCGACATTCTTTGTCGAATAGAATAAAAGTAATTAGAAACTGATTCCATCTGGTGCCAATTTGGGTCTGACCAAGGAAGATGGACAACGGTATTCTCATGTGAAATGTTTTACGATTCTATATATTTACTTCAATTTCATTTCTATAAAAATACTATTTGTACCGAGTTAAGAACACACATACAAAAATAAGTAAAAATAACTAAAAAACAAGATAGCATTTAAAACGAACGTTTTAATCCGTAGTTCATTTCATAATGAAAAATAGTTTTTACCTGAAAATCTTTAGATTGTATATAGCACAATCTATTCATGAAAGATGTATTTCAACAAGAATACAAATAATTTCATTTCAAGCATATGTTTTCTAGATGAGATGAATTAAATTAACTGAATGCACACCTGCAACCCATTTTAGAAAGACTTAGTATACAGGCAAATTTATCTATGAACGATTAAATTGCTTATTATTACAATTCAGGAAATGGAAAAGATCACGAATATGTTACAAATATGTTAAAAATCACGTATACAAGCATATTTTTGTAAGATGACTGTTATTTTTATGGGTTTTTTTTAAATCTGGTTTAACCAAGAAACTGAAGATGTAAAAAAGAGTTTTATATAAATTTGTTGTTTCTCCAACAAGGTGTCAACATTTGAAAAATTGGATGTCATTTTCAATGACCTAACCATTTCCTTTGTCAGTTTGTTATACTGGCCTGTTGTACGTTAGTAGACTGAACATTTGCTCTTCATCTGCTTTTTTCATTAGTATAATGCATGAACTTGATAGTCATCATTACTCCAAATTCTTTGTCACGTTTTGATGTCGTGGATATTGATGACGTGTGACATCATTTCCTGTTTATTGATACCTATATATTTAGGTACCATGAAGAACGTAGTTCAGTTGAAA